ACTTTTTCCATCATGTACGACATGTCTTCTCTTTTTCATTCTTTCCCTTCTTTACGAGAAAGGGCCCCATCTTTGGAATTGAGTTCAGGTAGGGGCGGTGCTAGAACATAAGACTCGTGGGGACAAATTACACCAAATTTTAATTTAAAACTATATAGACTTTTTTGAAAATCTTGAAAAAATTTGGGCCAAATAACAAATTTTTAGATTTACTGTGGGGGCAGGTGGGCTGGTGACCCCACTGCCCCCACTGTAAATCCCCCAATTTCCGTTCACTGTTTACTTTCTGTTGTGAGTTAGTAATTTCTTTGAAGCTTAAATGATTTATTCCAGCAATTTCCACTTGGAGTGTTCATTATAGTTTTCCTTATGATTTCTGATTTTCCTTTTGGGATAAATAGTCCTGTGATTCGGATATGATGGTGTTTTGGTGGCCTTTNATTTTTAGATTTACTGTGGGGGCAGGTGACCCCACTGCCCCCACTGTAAATCCGCCACTTTCCGTTCACTGTTTAGTTTATGTTGTGAGTTAGTAATTTCTTTAATTTTCTTTGAAGCTTAAATGATTTATTCCAGCAATTTCCACTTGGAGTGTTCATTATAGTTTTCCTTATGATTTCTGATTTTCCTTTTGGGATAAATAGTCCTGTGATTCGGATATGATGGTGTTTTGGTGGCCTTTACTGGAACTAGCATTTACATACGCTATCTATAGATTCTTCCTTATACTCATCTCTTCCAACGTGCGTCTATTGATGTTGATGCCTCTGATGGTTCGGCTCTACTCTACTTACTCTGCTTATGTGTTTTGTGTTTTTTATTTTTTCAATTTTGTACTAAAAAATGCATCTATATGAATGCTGGGGACGGACACACAGATTACTTGATTATCTATTCCTATTGAAATACACCTAAAGGTTTAGGAAATGAAGAAAACAAGAGTTTTAGCTAAATTTCTATCTCTAATTTTTTTAAACCATTAGAATCTGTGTATAAAATTTAGTGGCTACTTAATAACTGTAATATATTGTAAGTGCATTTAAGATTGGGTTTACCATTTCTCTCAATTGGATGATTACAAAATTTGTATTTCTGTAGCTTCTTAAATGATCAGTTTTTGTATGTATAAAAGTCAGTGCATAACTAATCATGAAAATAATTTATGTGCACTGGTGACTGAGTTTTCTGTGAGTTGGATGATTACAGTGTTGGATAATGGGAATCAAACAAAGGAAAACATCTTCGTCTATGCAAGTTTTTTAAACACTGTTTATTTTGCCATTAGAGATAAGTAATTTTCTTTGAATGATGTGAATTTTACCTTCTATTAGATGAATTTTATTTGAACAACATATTTCCTTTATGTATTTTTATGCGCGTCAAATGAAATATCAAGATATTAAACAAATTCTGATATTAGCTTTGATTCTATTGGACATACCAAAAAAATAAAAGAATTAAAAGAAGGGTTTGATTTTGTTGGTGATGAATGGGACTTCAAGCATGCTTGGTTAAGCTTAAATGTAGTCTAAAATCACCTTTAAATTTTGTGTCGAACATGTTTTTCTGTGCTCATTAGTAAAACCTTTCTTTTAATTTTAAGTATAATAGCAAAATTATTTTATCTGTTAAGACATAAATTACTGCCAATTCAAATAATTTGTTTTATACTTTCACCAAGTCATAGATAAAACTTCTCCTTTTCTTTTAAATAAATATACTTACAAGTTTAAGCTTAGGTAAACATGAACCTTCCTTTTCTGATAGAACAAAAAGGAAAAGAACACACTTATTGAATGTTTT